CTCAGGTGAGCTTGTGCAATTATTACTTATTTCTCTGGTCTCAATTTGGTGTAATTATTTCACGCCTCTGTTTACTATCATAATATGCATGCATGTTTTCTCGATTTGAAACGCATGGAGATGTATACTGTAATGAAGTTGTATTCTGTTTACACTTTCTCCATATCCATGCCAAAAAAATAACAATTATATTGATTTCTTAAGATTCATATAATATATAAAGGATATTACATGGCCGCGCGGAGATACGAAATTTCTCTTCGAGTGTTGAAAAATATTGCGCGAGCGAGTGAAATATTTTTTCAACACTAGAAGAGAAATTTCGTATCTCGAAGCGGTCATGTAATGTTCTATTTATTATATAAACACCAATGAAATACCAAACCATTTCACTTTAATAGTTTTTTGGTGTGAAAGGCGCGATTTATTATGTAGCCATAGCAAAGGTGATATTTTCACATGTGAAGATAACATGTTATTTTCACATGTGAAGATATCAAGTTTTCGCGCAAAAGCTCACCTGGTATTTCATTGGTGTTTATATAATAAAAAAGTAGAGTTGTCGTTTATTCTAACGAAAGGCTCGTAGAGTTGTAAAGTTGCAAAGTAAAATCGGTTTTGGAAAATAAAAATATCAATACATGGGCTGACCAATATAACTTCGCAAAAGGGTGTCTTGGGGGTTTTGTTATGTAGTTTGTGTAAGAATTTTTTTCCAAGTCTACTACTGTGATCGAACTTGATTCATAATGAGTTTCTTGCTTTAGCACGATGGAAGATTTCGTTCTTTTTAGGTGTGTTTGCGGGATGTTTTCTTCTTAACTCATCCAACCATTCCCTCAAAAGATAAACTGAAGAAGGCTCCTTAACTGTTAAGTATAGCCTCTGCGGTTTAATGGTTTTAACCGGTGCCTTATTATTAATGCATAAACGGAAGCTTCGCTTTTAGGCCTGGCACAATCTATATTTTGCATTTGTATATATATTAAGCTTAAATCAAATGAGGATAAAACGGAGTTGCTCGTTACTTGTTAATATTTTGGTAAGGTGTACGCCTTTCTGATGCTGCTAGGACAGCCGGAATTTTTGGTGTCGTTTTCGACAAAATGTGGTCACTTGTAGATAGACAGACATTAGTTCTGTCTGTAAGTTTCGTGAAGTCTTTTTCAATCTCAGAAACGATCAGGGCTTATCTACCAGACAGTACTAGAGCACTTAGCAAAACAGCAGTCCTTTAAAATTCAGCTTCAGAAAAATTTGCCAACAGGACTGGTATGCTAATCGTCTTTAAAATAATGTAATTAATTCTCGCGAAAAGCTTATGGCAATTTACAGTAGATTTATTTCCTCTAGCGTTGGTCGATTTTTGCGTAGCTTTGATCATTTTGTTAGTCCGGCTAAGTTTGATGTTATCCCTAAGATACACAAAAACCTTGTGGTGGGGAGACCTATTGCCGTGTCCCATTTGTTTATTACTAGGCCTACTTTTGTTGATGAACTTATTAAGCCTAAAATACGCATGCCTACGGTACTTAGGGACTCAGGTGAGCTGATTCAACTGCTGGAAAATACGGTCTTGCCCGATGGAGATTGTTTCCTTGTCACGATGGATGTCGCATCGCTTTATCCGAACGTTGACACTAAGGAGGCGCTTATAGCCCTTGACCTGCTCCTTCGTGAAGCAGGGGCTCCGGAGACCCCTGGTTTTTGAAAACAATTATTTATCTTCGGAATTTAGTCCGGATATTTTTCATCAAAAGTTTGGGATTGCTATGGGCGCTCCTTTTTCTGTCACAGTGGCAAACGCGTTTATGTATCATCTCGAAAAGGATATTGTAGTTTATTCACAATATCTTATTTTATCTATTTGATGCGGGCCTAAGGACACCCTGCTAGAATTTTTGGGCGCTCTCAACAGCAAAGACCGACGTATTCGGCTTACTCATTGCATTAGCGAGCTTAGCATTTCTTTTCTGGATCTATTTCTCTATAGAGGTGGGTCGTCAAGTGTGGTCATGCAATTTTCCACTTTTCAGAAGCCCCAAAACAAATACCTATATATACCCTTCGAGTCGTTTCATCCTTCTAGTAATAAGAAAGCCTTTATTAAAGGGGAATTAATGAGGTATGCAAGAAACAGTTCTTCCTTTAAATCTTTTTCGGAAACTAGGGAGAGATTCTGGCAGCGGCTACGGTTAAGAGGGTATTCAGTTGCATTTTTGCTACCACTGTTTTTCGAAATACGATACAGCGACCATAGGCGTACGGGCCAGGGGGGCGAGGGGGGCTGCAACCCCCCCAAGTTTTGGGCAACTCAGATTTTTTGGACAGCAAGAGAAAATTTGGGCAAAGCCAGTTTTTAAAGACGTTTCCATGTTTTTTTTATTAGTTTAAATAGACAAATATTTTCTATTTTAATCTGAAATAAGTCCTGAAGACAGCGTAATAATGCAGTTACATTCCCTCGAGACACTCACAGTGGTTGCCTAACTCGTGATGAGTTACTGGTTATAGGAAAGAGTATCATTTGTTGTTGTACATATTTATAGTTTTTTATTGTTGAGCACTGTACTGCACTGCAGTGACTGGAATGGGCTCTTTCCAGTCGTGAATTGATTAGAATAAACTTCCGCATATCTTTCTAGAATCATCTCCGCTCATAGAACAGTGTATGGCAGATAGCATCAGCAACAGCTGAAAATGAAGAAGTGGCTGACTAGTACTTAGCTCGAACTACGAGAAGAATATTAAATTTTTTTTAAAAATCATTCAAGCAATAATTTATTGAAGTAGACCGAAATCAAAACCGCTAACAAGGGCGCCTCGATACATACTAATGAAATCCTTCTCTCTAGCAATCGGCCGGAGCTATGTCCATGATCGTTTACACACGTTTTTAAAAAGATTGAAGCTACTATGTGATGAAATTGCATGTCAAAAGAGCTTTGTTTTCTACGGATAACGGCCAAACATCAAGACTTTTTTTTTACCATATTTATAACGATAAAAACGTCATCCCAAAATATCCCAATAACGCACTTATAGATTCCGTTTTAACTTCACTAACATCGAGGCGACTATTGGAGAAAAACGTTCCCGTGAACGATTTTTTAGGAACAGTTCCCAGTGCCGAGAAATATTGCTGTAAGTAAAATAGACAATGGCGTCGTTTCGTTGCTATGACAACTCCGATGTCATTAAAACCCTGCTCATGACAAATTTTCATCTTTATCTAATAAAACTATGGTAGCAATTTCTCCAAATGTCTCTCTATGGCGACGTAGTTATTTTCAAAATTGGGAGGTATTGACCCTGAAAAACTGTTACAGTATCGAGCCACCTTCATATGCCAGTACGGCCTACGTTGTTGCATCGTATGGCCCTAGTTTCTTTTCTACGGTTTCGTAAAAATTTGAGCAACTTGCGAGAATTTTTTGGGCAAATGGTTTACCGCCCTCCGGCAAAAAAATTGCCCGTACGCATATGACAGCGACAGAAAGAAGTAGCTTTTGCAGAAAGCTAAGAATAGGTCTCAGCTGGCTGCTGTATTCAAGACTACTTTTAATTGCAGTCACGCACGTATTGGGAATGTAATCAACAGGATTATGTCAGAAATAGACTGTACCGTATGTTACCAAGTTCTGTAGTTTTTTTGAGGCCACGGTTTTAGCTAAAACCGTGGTCCCAAAGTTTTCTCACGCGTTGAGTAAAAAATTTCACAGCTGCGCCTGTTCCTTTTCGTAAATCCGGCCAAACCTTCAATGTTTGCGACCATCATTATTTTTAGTCATATTATGGCTTAAATGCAGGCGTTAAGTATTTGATTGTAAAACTCCCTGAAGAAGTCTACGTTAGTTAGACGAATAAACAAGTAGAGAATAAACAAGTTTTACAGCAACAGTTCGCAGAGTGCTGCTCACCAGTTTAGTTTTAAAATTTTTAAAAATTTAAAAATAAAAAAAAAAGAGAGAAAGCGAAAACTCGTGCCAAATAGCCAAAAGCCGAAGAAAAGAAAATGGCCTGGGAACTAACATCTATCTCGCATGGCTCAATGGCTCACATGATGACTCGCACGGCTCGCTGGCTCGCAGTTTGTGAAGACCCAGCACCAGCATCTGACCTGATTTGTGTTTGCACAGCGAAATATTCATCGCAAGTATTAGACGTTAAGAGGAAGTAATGCAGTTTGAAACTCTCAAGAATAATTCTTAAAAGCAAATGTACTATTTCTGAACGAAAAATATTCCTGGAAAAAGCGAAAAAATATCTTGCATATTTGCATAAACAATTGAAGCCAGCCACTTATTAAAGGTTTCGTGTTTCGCGCGTGATAACCTTTGCCTTTGGCTTTCACAGTGTGTCAGAATTCAATATTTGTTACTTTAAATGACGCTACCAGCTGTTAGAAAATCTCAATCTTTAATCTCAAAGTGAAATTTTGACTCCAATACTGCAATCCTTTTGAAAATGAAATTCATTCCTAAATTATGAGAGAAAAGCACTGATCAAAAACATGTCAACAACAGGAGCCGATTAGTATCGGCTCCTGGCGCTAATTACTATAATGGCTGTCAAACTTCAAATGTTTGGCGGCGAAACATGTCACGTTCACGTGAAAGTAGACCGCGCGAGTCACGGAAACAACAGACAAAAATAACCTTCGCAGCACGCGCGCGAACTTTAAATAGATTTAGCTCTTAGCTCATTCTCTCTTGGAAAAACTAATTAGTTCGTAGTTTTAATCTTGCTAATCATTCCAGCCTAAACATGGCAATCTTCCGTTTTTCTCTTCACGACGGAAACGCGGGAAAATGCATATAATTATCCCTCAAATAGACACGCTTATATCTTCACGGAATCAACGATCTCCTCACATTTAACTAATTTATTCTTCTTTTTCACGTTGCCATACTCCCACCAATAACATAGCTCCAACATTTGGCATATAACCAACACACAACTCAAAATCCCCTGATTTGTTCTGACGAGAAGGCTAGTGCACGAAACGGTAACCAGTCTACCCTATCACAGTTGGTAAAGCTATGATCGAGGTTTTTGTGTAAGTATGTTAGCACGAAGATGAAAACATTTTTGCTATAATTTTTCAGGCTTAAGATGCTCAACCTGAAAAAGTCTCTGGGTGTTATTGACTTCTCAAAAAAGTTAGTGGTGCTGTCAAGAAGATCATCATTTGCCTTCAAATACATCAAGCGAAAGGATGAAGAACCCGCAAGTCAACCAGCACTGGCAAACCCATACACACCAATTATCGAAGGTAATTTAAATATATTCATTTCTAGAGGACAAGAGTCTTGTGTTCTTGTGTAGAGAGGTTAACAAGGACTATGAAGTTCTTTGACACTCAACAGAAATGTAGTCTCCGTTTCTCCACTTCTGTGTGTACTTTTCTTTTCTTTTACATGTCAACTCGCAACATCTGCAGACTGCCAGACTAGGTTAATGCCGCCTGGGCATTTGGTTGATTAAGGAAATTGATTATTATTTCTTATTTGCCGGTAGTTTACATTAACATTGAATTTGTTTTGAAACCAACAAGCAAATATTGGGAAATATTGGCAAATTACGTAAGAAACGTAAATCATATATTATTTAGGCCCCCGTCCACACAAATCCTGATATTTTTGAAAACGAAGACTTTTTTCTCCGTTTTAGCCTTCCGCCCACGCGTAAACGACGTTTTTGGGCACCAAAAACGCAGCCGGGTTTCCGAAAACGGTCCCCAGAGTGGAGTTTTTTAAAAACGCCGGCCTATCGTTTTCGTGAAGACGGACGCACGAAAACGGAGGTTTTTTAATACGATGAAGCCATTCATTATGCAGCGTACACCTAAGAGCTTGTAAGAGCAGGGCCCGCGGAGCAGTTTTTAAAGCTCGAGGGCCGGTGACCACCTTTTTTGAAGTGGGGGAGGGTGGAATGTTAAGTATACCGAAATTCCTTCTACAATTATAGTTAAGAACACTGAAATTTATTTGCTACGTCGGCAAGGCAAATTTGTCTGTTCTCTCTTTGTGGCTGTTTAGAACTGTCAGATTACTGAACCCTTCTTGAGTCGTTGTCGAGCGGAACCATGTTTATAACTTTCAGGTCACTGAAAAGGACCTTTCCGTAGGGTAATAGCTAGTAGTCTTCAGATTTGACCGAGAACCTTCATCAAAAAAGTCCATTCTGCATCATTACATCCTGATGCAGTATATAGCCTGGCTGGTTTGGAAGCGTAGAAGTCTACGACTAAGTGCAGTTTTGTAAAGATAGGCGTTTCGAGGCTTACTTCGCATCCGATAATATATAAAATCGACAAGATTGAAACGGACCAATAATAAATTTAAATGCTTTTGCGAGGTCCGCCAGCCAAATATTCTTATTCCCTCCTGTAGATATCCCATGACTAATAATTTAAGGACAATCATAACCAAGAAATCTTCCAATTTCATTTTAAAAAACTGTTTTAAACTGCATCACGTGACCACCCACGCCCTGTTTTATCGAGAAAATTCCCACCACATAAAGAGCAAACCGTTTTCCTATTGTGGGTCCGATCAGTGGCTACAAATAGTCTTGTAAGAACGGTCGGAATGAGAAGAGGTCAATAAACGTCTTTCTCCCTGACGAAAATTTTATTTAGAGGAGGACTGGCACTAGTCAATGATTACCAATTACACCTGCCAATACGCCTTTTGCATTCGTTGTTCTCGTGATCAACTTTCAGTAAACACGAAAACATTTCGCTGTTCGAGGTTTTAAAAAGCACAATCTTTGCAAGTCGTACAAGTTCTCTTAATTCTATCAATTTTTTTTCCGGCAAATTTGGGTTTCCACAGAAAAGCTAAGCCACACAATCGGTGTATTTTGATACACAAAATTAGCAGGCGAAGGATTATCTAAAAAATGGATTACTTTTTTGATTAAGGCCAACTAAATTGGACAGATTTTCAACTGTAAAATAGTAGCATTAATTATTTATCCGTTCTTGAATATCTTTTCTCTCCGTGACTTCTTTTTGGTGGCAAGAAAAATACCGTAAAATTCCGAAAATAAGCCCCGGGGCTTATATTTTTCAAAGGCACTTTTTTAGGGGTTTATTTTTGGGGGGGCTTATCTACGGAGGGAAATTTGCGTTTCAAAATCGATTGGGCTAGCCGTATAGTTGGAAGTAAATTTACCGTTCTTGCTTTGTTTGACTTTGTATTTGAGGGCAATTTTCCAAGTACAAGCCCCCGGGGGGCTTATATTTGGAGGGGCAATTTAACGGAGGGTTTTTTGCGTTACGAGATTGGGGGGCTTATATTTGGAGGGGCTTAAACATGGAGGGGCTTATTTTCGGAATTTTACGGTATATATATTGCACTGAAATTAAAACCTTGATAAATCCGCTTCATCAAAGTTGCCTTTCGAAAAATTGTTCAGAGTAAAGCCAAGCTATATTTTCAATAGTGCCACAGAAAAACACAAAGAAATATGTATTAGCAAAGAGGCTGCTAGTTGGCAGGGAAAGAAAGGGCAAAAATTTAAACATTTGTGGTATCTGACAAGAAATGTTTATACAGTCAGCACAGGGGATTTTCGCTGCAACTGAAGCATTTTTAAGCGATTGTCTGACGAGACATTGGCGATTTTATGCAGCTTGCATCATTTAGTTTCACTGCAGGGCTTAATGTATAGATTGTACGCACATTTATCGCGTCACTCCAGCGCGGTTCAAAGTTACACGGTTCAGGATATTTCTGGTAAACCACACCACAAATCGAGCAGGAGCCCGTTTCTCGAAAGTTCGCTAATTAACGACCCCAAAAAGACATTTGGCCGTTTTTATACTAAGGACGCAATATCCGTCTGGACGAACTTGGGCAAATATTTTGTAGGGTGTTCGTAGTGCGTTGTTCAAGACGTATTTGGAAGGAAAGTTCGTCCAGACGCATAATTCGCCTCATGCCCGTCTTTATACTTAAGACGCATAACCAGACGAACTACAAATGTTTGCCCAAGTCCTTACACTCGGATATTGCGTCCTTAGTATAAAAACGGCCATTGTTGCTTACATTCAAGATCGAGGTTTTCGATAGTTTATATCCATGGTAATACTTTAAAACTATCAGCTAAGGTGTTTTGATGTAGTTTTTCAAAGGCCATACCGATATTTTTCAATCGCTTTAAAAGTGATTTTATCCTTGTCTGATCGCTATAGAATTTTCTCCAATGATTGACTATAGATCGAAATTTGTCAAAATGTAGGTTTTAGTAAAATCGATATTACCATGACAACAATAAACAAAAAACTTTGAAATTAATAAACGTCTAATTTTGCCCCATCTAGAGCAGCTTCTGAAAATCCAACACTAGGAACTTAAAGTTTGGTGTTTGTTATAGCAAATAACCTCTGTGAGAAGTAAAAAATTCTGTGTGTTTGAATTCGACTGAAACGAAAATATATTTCAAACCTTAAATTTTCAATAGCCGTGATAGATTATTTAATAAAAATGTTATAAATGACTCAAATTATTCTTAACTAGCGTCAGAATGCTACTTAAGATCATATTTCGATGCTAAGAAATTTTGGTGTATTTCGTCACTTGCGATCTTAAAAACTAACCCGTTTTCTCACCACCTGTCAAAGTGCAACTTCATTCAAAATTTGGACTTTTAGCGCTATTTTGTATATCTCTGAAACGACTCGAACGAATTTTTTTAAAATCTCTTCACATAATCTTCATAATGTATATAATAGTGTCTGAAACTTTCATTAATATTGATTCACTGCAACACCTTGAAATTTCAAGACAAACCTATCCTACAAACAGGTCAAAAATCCGCGCTACAACATTCACTGTTTTGACGTTATTAGTGCTAATTTTTCCAAATTAATGCGGACAATACACGTATCCATGACTAGTACATTTCAGTATGAGTATTTTCAACGTTTCACATTCAAACGATGCGATAAATTCCAACTTAAATGTACTTCTAGTCATAGGGGTATGTATAGTGCGCATCATAATTTAAAATTCGGCTTTTATTATTTTCAAAGTTTTTTGTTTATTGTTGTCATAGTAATATCGATTTTACTTAAAACTACATTTTCGCCAATTTCAATCTATAGCCAATTGCTGGTGAAAATTTTATAGCGATCGGACAAGGAAAAAACCACTTTTAAGGCGATTGAAAAATATCGGTATGGCCTCTGAAATACTGTATCGAAACACCTTAATAATAATACAAAACTTGGGACTGGGTTTGGTAGCTAGTAACTGCGCGCATTTATTCTTTGGATTAAAAAGTTACAGGGGATTTCAAGAAAAAGGCTTCAGATCCGCAATATCCGAGATTTCTTAACCCGACAAATTGCCATGAAAACGCCGCTAGATTTCACTGACATGCGGTAATCCACGCGCCGCAAATCGCATCCAGTCACCGGAAAATCAGATGAAAAGCCATTAGCATTAACGGACCACTAAACTCTACATTTTATTTTCCAGGTCCACGCATTGAACCTTTGAAATGGAAAATGTACACGAAGAGCCACATTCCAGCACTACTGAATACTTATTGGCCTCGATCACATTCCATCGATGCGTTGCCTTTCTACGCAGCATCAACCGTTTTGCCCATGCGCACAAACAATTACGTGGTATCTCATTTGATTGATTGGTCGGCTGTCCCAGACGATCCCATGTTCCAACTCACATTTCCACAACCAGGTGATTACTAATAAAAATATCTCAAATACTGATATACGGTAAATAAGTAAGCCACGCCACAGTATACAGACTTGCTGCTGCACAATCTTTGCAACACTGTCCTTTCCTCTCCATCATAGATTAATACTCATTCAAAATATTTCTCAATCTGATTGGCTCAAATCCCCCGGCTGCTTCTTTATGACCAGCTTCTGTTGACCAAATTTGGAAGCCGTTTGCCATATCCAGGACGTCGAAAGTACGGGGTAACCGAGAAGCACTGGGGACGAAGTTGCATTGTTTGGGAGAGCAGTAGAAAATGGCAGAACATTTCTGATTCACACGTTTCACCATAAAGAAATAACCTTACTCAGTACTGCCTGAAAAACACTGCAAGAACAGCAAGATAAAACCCTCCTCGATCTCCGTAATTCTTCATGTTATACTCAGCTTCGTCCAATAATTGCTAATTATCCAGTGCCCGATAACTCTTTAATGCGGATATAAACCCGTAAGGGCCTAGCGACATGTATGCAAGTGCGTACCTGGAAAAATCGAAGGTAAAAAAATTAAAATATGATATAAAGAATAAAAAGAAAAAGAGATATTGACAAAGAAGCAAATATTAAATAAAATTGTTTTTTTATAAGGCGCAGTTTGCCTTTATTTAATTCATTCTGTTTGCTTCTTTGAAACACTTTTTCTTAGACAACGCACTGGGTTTTTTCCACACCCGAATGTCGATTTCCAGCGGAGCGGTGTGTTCTAATTGGTAGACTGAATCTTGAAAGATGTCTTTAGGTAGAAGGCGGGAAAATAGCGCGCGTTGCCCACCACGAGCTGTCTTAACAGTACACGAGGTAGGGCACGGTTAAGATTACGTCAACGAAGGGTACTTTCGTCAGTCAAACCAAAAATAGTGGCAAACGCGAGGGGTGAAACGTCAATCATTTGTGAAGAAAATTCTAACATACTACTAGCTTTTTGGCTTCATTAATGCCGGATAAGTAATTAATAACGAATCTAAAAAGTAGATAAAGAATTTTACAACTTACTAAGTCATTTCATAGGCAGTAAAAACGATTTGGGTTACAACGTTAGTCACTTTAAACAAGAGATAATGGGTTTGGGACTTTAAGGGGGAGCAAGAAATATGGAAACTTGTGCCTACTTCTGGAAATGTCCTGGCTACGCCCCTGATCGACCCGGAGCTTATTTCGGGCGTGTCTTTTTCTATGGCAAAAGCACCTTGGATTATTAGTTCTTCGCTGAGGGTGAAATTCCAGACTATAACAGGAGTACGTTCAGCAGCAGGACACTGGAACTCTGATAGAGAGACAATGCTAACTGGATTGCGAAACATCGCGATGGCAAGGGTCAGAAGTCGAATCCGCGAAAGCTCAAAAACCGAAATACGAAACTGAGAAGGATGAACCAGATGCTGAACTGTGCACTCAATAATACTGCTGCAGCAAATACTTTTTCAATCTCTCCATCTTAATAGCCCGCTGAGCACTTTCTGAACCACCTTTTTTGTTTTGTTCTTTTTTTTTTTGCCACTCTTAAGTTTTCGTGGAAATATAATTCAAGGCCCAGTGGATTTGAATTTGGCTCTGACTTCCTTTTCGACTTGTAATGTTAAAAAATATAGGAATGTTGGCACAGGAAGATCTCAATCACGTGATTAATATCGTCCGGAATACGAAAGACAGAGTCTACCTGCGGAAGGAAGTGGAAAAAATTCGCGCTAAACTAAATCCACATCCAGCCAATCAGAAAACTATGAACGTGCCACGTGATGACGACCAGGAAATGCCCGGAATGCAACATAAATACCGCGAAACGGTTTTGTTTTTTCCTGCTGAAGGTAATTTATTTTGTTTATAACTAACATTGCGGTCTTTTATAGTTCCCATGTTGAGTGGGTGTTAGGTCAAGTGATTGTGAGAGATAACTGATGTGCAGCGTAATAATGCATGAGGAGGAAACTACAATTTGATGTTTACTTAGTCATTTTTAAATCAAAAAACTTCAAATCAACAAATTCAGTGTACGTGTTTGAGATCATCACAACACACTTTGGAAAACAAAAATTGGAAAAGGATTTTTTCTTAGTCTATGAACGTAAGATAAGGGACCTTAGTTGCCCTTTCTTCTGTTATTCTTTTTGCTGTGATAGTGATTAAACATACATCAAATGCATCGTACAAGAATTCGTCACTAGTTTCCGTTACTTTTCGCTCTTGATGTATTTCACAGGTCAATGGTGCCACACTTTTTGCACTTATTGTTTCCGCTGGGCCCAGTTTACCGCGGTTGGTTCTCCACAAATCTTCCAGTCTTATGATGGCAAGCGATTGGCAAGTTACATTCGCAACAATAAAGGTATTGGATAGAACAACTTTCTCATTATTTATCGTGGTAGCTATCCAACATCGTCACCCTTCAGTATACCCTTACATCACCATTCCGATTCGATAATTTGTTGCAAATTTCTTGTTTAATTTAGTAGGGTGCCTTAAAAGCCGGTGTAATTCCACAACTGGTGTTTGCTCCATTGATCTTATAGCAATTGCAGAACATTTTAGGAGAAGCCGCCTACAATAACAGCACATTTTCTTGAAGGACGTACGTATAACTAAGGAAAACAATGCAAATTAAACGTAATTCGTTTCGGTATAAACTGTTTTAAAACGTCAACGAACTATAGGGCGCGTACACGCACGTAAATTTAAAAAAAAGCACATCATCACATGCTCAAACTAGCCCAGAAAGGGCTGAAAAGAAGAACTCACTGAGCCCCACACGGTATGGGAACCAGGGTATAGAGTTTATATAAACAGCATATTACCTATAGATCCACATTATTATAAATTCTAGACCATTTTGTTTAGTGATCATTTCCTTGATTCTCATGAGGATGGTTCTCAAGAGTTTCGGAGCCACCTTAACCTTCGAAAAATTTACCCGTTCGTTTTGAGTTATAAGCCATGAAATAAATGAAAGGAGTGTTTCAACGGGATATGACGTTGCTATTTTATAATAGTCACCGTACATGTTGTATGGCGTCAAAAATTGCCATAAATAGACCTCTTTAGTTGTGTGTTTTGTTTTCTCGATGAAGGTCTCATTGGAATTAGCCCCTTTGCCTTTTCATCGTGCACGGTAATAAGACGAAATTTGAAAGAAACAGTTCTCTGGAGTATTATCGCATGACCTACATTGAAAACAAACATACAGGCTAAAGAGGTCTATTATTCTCTAATGCATTTGGCCTTAAGGTTTGCAGTGTTGATCCATTAGAGTGGAAGTGCTCGAAATGCTGGATACCATTTTTATCCAACGGAGAATTTCGGTGTTGGTCATGACGCAATGCAACGTTGCACGCTCAGAGACTTTTGGCGGGAAACAGTTTTGTTGTAAGTTGTCATGTGACCTCGTAGTAACCAATGAGGGTGCGCCCTCTTGGGGCAAAATTGCCAGCTAACTAATATTGATAGTTTAATCTACCTTTCGATTGCACAGGGGTCAGAGATGTACTGTTTACCGGTGGGGACCCTATGGTGATGACAACCAAGCAACTTGAACGATATATCGACCCACTCCTCCAGGATCCAACTCTCGACCACTTAAGAACCATAAGGATTGGTACTAAGTCTCTTGCTTACTGGCCTTATCGTTATGTCACAAATGATGACGCCGACGATTTGCTTAGGTAAGGGCTATGTATATTGCTAGTTTGCACGTGACGTCATAGCAGCCATATAAGTGGTCAAGAACAAAACTATTTCTATCCTCTGGGAAATAAACTCCATTTTCATGTAAATTTCTTGAAATAATGTTTATTGTATTGACCAACAACAAGGCCACCATGTCTCATGGTTGCAAACCAAGAATATCTAATTCAATAAAGGTTTGGCAATTAGGCATTGGGAATAGAGAACTCAGTGCAATGCTTTGCTCGCGTGACCACCACCCCCTCCCAGTGCGCAATTTCCTATTCGCAGGGTTATTATGAAAGACAAAATGTTTTTCTTTAAGACAATTAGAAATTTTCAAAAAGTTGCCCAAGTTTTCCCAAAATTTGCTCAAGAGTTGCCCCCACCTTCCCCCTCCCTACTCACAAAAAAATGTTCCTTTTTTGTTCCTTTTTTGTTTGCTTTCTGTAACCACCTCAGAATGTATGTATAATGCAAATTGTGTAATAAATTTAGCTGCTACGCAATAAACTCGTGAAATTATGAAGATAAAATAACGAAACTGTGCAAAACGTATAGCTCAGTTGATAGAGCACTGCACAGGTATCCCAGGGGCTGAAGAGTTAGAATACTGTACAAACCTTTTTTTTCTAGGCTTTCTTTCTCAACTGCGATGATTTTGATTACGTTTTATTCTTGATCCATCACTGATTCTAATATATTATTTTCATTTTCATTAGTCAAAAACTGGTATTACTGGGTAATTTACCGTTGCTCAAAAAAACAAATGAAAGTACACCTATTTTGCAGGTTGTTTGAAAGAGTCAGTCTTTCGGGTCGCCATCTTGCAATCATGGCTCACATATCCCACCCACGTGAGCTCCAATCACACGTCGCTAAAGAAGCTATCCGACGCATTCGAATGACGGGAGCAGTAATTCGATCCCAGGCTCCTCTCATAAATCACGTCAACGCAGACCCTCGCATCTGGGTGGAAATGTGGCAAAAACAGATCTCTCTTGGTATCATTCCATATTATATGTTTGTGGAGCGAGACACTGGAGCCAGACATTATTTTGAAGTTCCTTTAAGCACAGGCCTTCAAATCTACCAGGAAGCAACACGAAAAGTCTCTGGAGTTGCGAAAACTGTCCGAGGGCCATCAATGTCGGCTGTTCCGGGCAAAGTGCACGTAATCGGTTCTGCGAAGATTGGCGCGGAAAGCGTGTTTGTTTTGCAGTTTCTACAGGCTCGTAACCCGCAATGGACTGGAAACCCATTCTTCGCAAAGTATGACGAGAAAGCCAGTTGGCTTGACCAGTTGAAACCTGCATTTGGAGAGAAATCGTTTTTCTACGAGGATGAACTCCAAGAACTACAGAACGCTAACAATTGTTCGGGTGTCTTGTTCCAAGATAAATAAACAATCCCAATGGCACACTAGGTATTGTTTCTCGAAAGAAACTGTAACCATGAAAACTGAATGTTTTGTAGAACGGTGTAAGATGACCCAAAGGGTTTTTATTCAATTGTCTTTAGAATTTCTTCTCTTCACCAGCTGTTTGTTTAGTCCTAAGACAACTTTTTGAAATCTCCTCTAACAATCGTTGTTATTAGACTAAGAATGCTTTAAGGACAAATACAACTGAATTAAGATGAAAAAAAAAGGATTTTCCATGACTGGAGACGCGTAAAGCATCAACGGAGTAGTCGAGTAAGGATTTCAGCTGATATGAAGACGTAATCGAAGACAAATTTGTACTTGATTATAAAATGACTTAACCTGTTGGTGAGACGTGACCTTATGAGTAAGACACTGATTCATGGGCGAGTTGCGCAAAAGCTTAAGAGGGATTCTGGTAAATAGACTTGTTTTCCACTGTTTTGCGTTTATTTCTGCACTTTTTCTTCCATATCTAGACAAGATTTCATTCAGACAAAAAATGGCTCCATAAGGTCGTAGTAATTGGTTCAATAAATGTTTAAAAATTTTTGGATGATTTTTCCAGTGTCATTACTGAATAGAAATGCGTGTGGGATGTTAAAAAATATGGCAAATTGGGAAATTTTTGATTTGGGGGGTTGTTGAAAATTAACATATCAAGGGAATAATATGAAGACAAAAACCAGATACCACCACACTCCGATGTCAATAGATTTTACACCGCAGTATAGACCGGGGCTAATAGCACACAAAGTAGAGCGCTGGACTGTAGTCTTTGGAGCGGGAGGTGGCAGGGTTAATCAACGGAGTGGGACCAGAACTCAGCGTGTTAGTCTATATGTTCACACCACCCCAGATAGCTGTTGTGTCGACACGAAAGCCATACCGGAGAGGACTGCCGCTCACAGGCAAGAACGGTGATTTCAGCGCGATTACTGTAACGGAGCGAAGCTGGGCTGCGCCGACCTTGAAAGTGGAGCGTTACATATCGGATAGGTTTCTGCTAGTCTTAAGCGCAGCATGAACTGGTAATCGGACCGTAACGGAAGTAAATAAGTACGAGGAGGAACTGAAACCCACTGAGACGGACATGAATATCCTGGGCCGGGTGGTTCAAAGTGAGGTCAAGATAACGCAGGGTTAGTGAGAAATTTGATTTCAGATATGAAAGCTTAAAAAGCAAATTCAGTTTAATTCTTCTTGTCTGCAATTTGGTGATTGGGTCCTCTAAAAAGAATGGGGAAAATTATCTGAGAAAATACTTTGAAACAAAAGATAAAGAGCCCCGGTTTAAAATTTAACCCCGGTTTAGCGCTAATCAGTCTTCGAACAACTGGGCCCAGAAGTGAGACTGGGATTTAGTGCGACAAACCCTCTCCTCCAATCGCTGCGCTACGATGTTTGATGTGCGTCAACGACTTGTTCCGGTTCTATACCGTTGCCGTTCACACTCTACCGAACATGTGTTCGTGTCGACACCAAAAGATGTCCGGTAGAATGTGGACATCGGCTTAAAATAACTGAGAAATGGACACTTCCATAATGCGGACATCTCTCTACTATGTATTCAGGGGCTTATATGGATACTTAGGGTGCGTTCCTTTGGGATGATCCTGATCAGGATCAGTGATCCGAGACCATTCGGATCATGGTAGCTCAAATGAACCGATGAATCCACTCTGGACAAGGATTCTTCGGTTCATTTGATCTACCATGATCCGAGTGATCTCGGATCACTGATCCTGATCCGAATCATCCCAAAGGAATGCACCCTTAGTGGCTCAAATTTTAATAAATAAAATAGTCACCTCTGGAAAAATTGTAATGTTTTATTCCTGCAAAAATATGTTATCTCTATGGTATTTGTGGCATTTAAAGTAGGTTATTAAGTGTTAATAAATATTGAGTAGCAAACAGTACCAGGTACTTGTCTATCTGTGCAGTTTGTTATAAATAGCTTGTTTTAGATTGAAATTCTTATCACACACAGTCAACGTCTGTAGCTTTGTGATGTTTTTTCTACATTTGTCCCGCTCGTAAAGGAGTTCAAATAGTAGAACGGCGTGAGAACGAGAACGAAGCAAAAAAAGTATGGAGAAGAAAAAAAGGCGAAAGAGTTGGGAAGAGAGAGAACGAGGGAATATCTTAGCTAGGAGGTTTTTCCTCCGCTGTCACGCCACTCATGTTCTTCCCCATTTTTACATCCCCCGAATTTTGTATAACCTTTGTTTTTAATTTCTCCTGGGTATTGCAGTTGTCCCTGAATAAATTTATGACAATGCTTATGGAAAATTTTGGGGGCCAAACAAGGTCTATTATAAGAAATGTGTAAATGGCGAATTGTCGCTTTTGTATACGCTGGGCTCCTTTCATCAAGCTTTTGTCACCTGCCGAGATAAACTTAAATAGTTTAATCGGCCATTTGTTTAAGAGGGACAGAAAAATAAGAATCGTTTTAGGTTACATAATGAACGTGTTCTGCTTTAGAAATGAATCTGACTAATGATCAAATCAGTTGAATAAAACGACGCAGCATTCAAGTTTCCAGACAAGCTACCACCGTTATCCATCGCTTGTATATTCAAAGTTCTGTTACTCGCACTGTCCTTTTTCCTTTTTCCGGGGGGATTAGGAGTGAAGCCTGTAAATTATCTCATGCCATTGAA